TTGCATAACTTCCTTCTGCTATGGAGATCTCTGATCTCCACAACAGAAGCATGACTGTGTTGCCGGGTGCCCTGACTGACTTGGGCCCTTGGTCCATGACCGATCTGCCTGACCTGTCAGTCCGCCCCTGCATCCACAAATAAGGAATGACTACTAAACAGCTTACTATATTTTTTGTAACACCAAAGTAAATTTAGTAGCTAAAAGAAAAAGCTAAAAAAAAACCTGTACATCTTTGATTAGAAAAACCAAAAGTGAAAAAGGAAATGCAATGTGATATAAAATACCACTTACATAAGTGAAAATCCCTTTACAATATAATATTATCAGGATGTGGGGAAATGAAAATCAATCTTATAGGATAGTCCCAGCTTGTCCCCCTTTGTATAATTGTTTTTTCTCATGACCACTTCTGCAGCCACTTCTCAGTCCCAATGCATTTTGTCTAATATGTAGACTTCCTCAGGTGTACGTTGTTTGAGTAGGAATCCTAGTTATATACAGATTGTGTGGGTGTGTCTCTCTTCGGTGTTTACGGTTTTCCTGAGCAGCAGTCAAAGTGCATTTCAGCTTGGATGTATGTCTCTGTTGGCATTACGAAAGTACAAAAGGCAGTCTTCTAAGTTGCTAGCAGTACTATAAAGAAGGTCTCCCTCCGACTGCCATTTTGTACTTTGCAGTTTTCCATCGCCAGTAGTCCACAAAAATGCGTGACATACTTGCAAGCTGAAACAATCATCGAATCCCACTTAGGAAAACTGTGAACACTGAAGGGAGATACTCCCACACAATCGTTAAACAAGGATATTTCCTGCTTTTCTTGGATAGGGTATCTTGGTTGTGCTTTTTTTTTTTTCCAGATACACAGATTTTCATACAATTGCTAAGTTGAGGAGACTACAAACAAAAAGCGCTGCCTCGAACCCTGTACTGTTTATCTGTTTATTGTTATTCTTGTTGTGAAGCTAGTGTATTGTGCAGGTTTTTTTTGGGTGCTATTAATGTTGTGATACTTGGGATTTACGGTGTAACAAGAACTCTATTAGGAGTAGGGGTGAGGTAGTTGTTTAGGTAATCCCCCTCCCTACAGGAGTTTATTTTAATTATGAACGCAAGATAAAAGTGGTCTGCTGTACACTTCACCATCGTGGCCTACCTACTGACTAGTTTTATTTGATTTATTGACATCTTTGAGCAAGAACCATTTATGGATTGCAAGACAGATAAATCAAATCCTGTTTCGCTCTATCAGTACTATAGGATTGAAACCAACAAATTAAAAGCTTATAATATTCTCACTCCATGAAACATCTGGCTCATTTACCTATTGATCAAAGTACAACTACAAATGGTTTTAAGTCAATATTTTATGGGCTATTTTTATTTTTGAAAAATTCTATTTCTTTAAGTGTTTTGTGCCTTTTATTTCAGAAAACTGTAGCATGTGTATTTTTAGAATTGTAGTTCATTATATAATACAGCTTTTGAGAATAGGTAATAGAAGTTTGAAATGAATTTTAGCAGCTGGAAAATGAATCATCTTCCTTTTCCCACATATACAATTGTTCTTGATAATTTGTAGAAAACTGTGGGAAATGCATTATTTCACTCACATAACAAATTACTTATTGCATCGCAAAATTATCTCAATATATCTCAGTGGTACATTTTTTTTCTACATTAATGTAATGGAGTTAAAATAAACAATACTGAAGTAATGATAAATTAGTAGTGGTGAAAGCCCTTCTGACATAATCAATACATTTAAAGGGATACTCAAGGCACCCAGACCACTTCTGCCCATTGGATTGGTCTGGGTGCCAAATCCCACTACCCTTAACCCTGCAAGTGTAATTATTGCAGTTTTCATAAACTTCAATATTTACATTGCAGGGTTAAGTCCTCCTCTAGTGGCTGTCTACTAGACAGCCACTAGAGGGACTTCTGTGTTCATAGAAAACAAAAAGCTATATGAGGACCTCCAGCGTCGCCAAAATCCCCATAGGAAAGCATTAGGTCTCCCCTGCCAGAGGGGGAGGAGCATGGTCGGAGCCTGACCCAGCGCTGAGGGACATCGGCGCTGGACTCCGGTAAGTCACTGAAGGGGTTTTAACCCCTTCAGCAACTTGGGAAGGGGGAGTGGGAGGGAGAGGGGCATTAGAGGGTCCTACAGTGCCAGGAAAACAAATGTTTTCCTGGCACTGGAAAATCCCTTTAATAATATACAGACTAACAAGGCACACGTTGGATTGGTTTTGTTTTCACATTTAGTAAAATTAAACTATTTCTTTTATATATTTATATATCTTTCTATTAAAGCTGCAGTTCTGGCTGGATGTTTGGAAGTCCCAGCGGTGTTCGCGTGAAATAGTGTCCGAAAACAGTTCCATGCGTTTGACGACAAAACACCGCTGGCAGTTCAACAGATTAAGATGTCCGCACAGCCATACAAACGAGACCACACAGCCGTTCGTCAATTAGGCTGCGGTTAACCACAGCTTCTTGGAGGTTAACAAGCAGCACACTCCACTTGCAGAGTGGTCGGTCGTTCTGCAATTAGTTTGGTTATTTGAACAGAATCATACTGGTTATAGAAAAAGTGAAATTCACGAACATATAATGGGAAATATAAAATCCAGGCATATAGGGAGAAATATAAAATTCAGGGACAGAACTGATAGAACAGATTGGTGAAGTTTGGAAGTGCCAGTGATGGGGCGCTAATTATAGCATCCTTTATGTGGTCCACAGCTTGTTTTTTCTCCTCAGACAGCCCTATGCGTCCAGTCTGAGTGGTGAGAGCGTGTAAGGCAGCAGCGAATTGAGATATGTTTGGTATCCACAGTCTGCAAAACACGACTAGTCCCAAAAAGGCTCTGATTTGTTTGGCATTCTGTGGGTATAGTGCCTTCTGTATCACAGAGACACTATCCGCAGTAAAGTGTTTAGAGCTCTGTGATATACAGTGGCCTAGGAAAATGACTGGGGGAAACCTTGCATCCCTCAGTGCTCAATTGGGAAAGCGGTGAAACAGTTTCACTGGTGCACAGCTCTCTTGAGGTGGCTGCTAGCAGAATATCATCAATATACTGCACAAAAGTCACCCCAACCAATGCATGCCACCTGTCTAAGACTTGCTTCATGATTTGACCAAATTCAGATGGTGAAGAGACCATTCCCTGCGGCAATCTTGTCCAAACATACTGCTGTCTCCAAAAAGTGAAGGCACACCGATACTGAGAGTCAGTGTATCGGAACACAAAAGAAAACGTCTACCAAATCTAGCACACTGAACCAGGAGGCATTCAAAGGAATTTCTTCTAGAATAGTGTGGGGATTTGGAACAAGTGGGGAATCCTCTTGAATTATTTTATTTACTTCCCACAAATCATGAACCAAGAACTGCTCTGGTCTCCCTGCCTTAGTCACAGGATACAAGGGTATATTTACAGGAGATTTTGTGGGAATCAGGATTCCCTGATTCACAAATGTTTTGATTTGGTCTCTCACACCATTTAATTGTTTCATACTAAGGGTATACTGACGAATCCTGGGCAATTTAGCTCCGGGTCTGAGCTTAATGACCACTGGGTCTACTTGTTTTATCAGGCCCACTGGACCACCTTTATAGCCCAAACATCTGGGGGGGACATCCTTCAGGTCAGGTAGAATATCCTGCTCTGGAAGGATGCGAACACAAGGTGTTGTGGTTTTCCAATCCCACTAATGTAGTCACAACCAGTTCATCCTCCTTATATTGGATATTCAACTTTAGTTTCATTAGTGCATTTCTTCTCATCAAATTGCAGGGGACAGTGTCACTGAGGACAAAGGAGAGGGGGGTCTCAGCTTGACCTATAGTCTCTAAAGTCTCCTTCAGCTAGTTTTACCTGCTAGTCCTACAGCATCAATTTGTCCAGAAATGTTCACATTTGGGGCTTCTGATATTTTGAGAACACTGCGGGCTGCTCCAGTGTCCACCAGACACTCCACAGAATGGTATAGTATGTCAGAGAGGGTCAGGTAAACAAAGGCATCACCTCTTCTGCTCTCAGAGATGACTGGTAGCACTGGAAACCCTGCCCGTCAATTGCTCTCCTGACTCCCCCGCTTTGGGGCTGTGCAGTCCCTTGCAAAATGATCCAGTTTGTCACAGTTATAGCATCTAACTTTTCTGGGTTCCCCTCTGATTGTTCCTCTGAACTGCTTCCATTGAGGTTTCCTAGGGGCACTGACTAGCATTACCCTCTTGGCTTTCTTTTCCTGCATTTCCTCTATGTTTCTTTGGATTGAGCTTGCTAAGCTCATTAGTGCTGGGACTGACATGTCCCTCCAATTAGAATGGGCATAAACCAATTTGTCATGGATTTCTTTATTTAGTCCCCACACCAATGTGGCAGTGATCATCTTTCCCATACCTTGGTCATATCTTGAGGCAGGTTGCCTCCTGCCTCCTCCACAGTCTGCCTAAATCCTTCAAAGTAGTCTTCTACTGGTTCTGTTTCCTTTTGTAGGATATTTGTCACCCGGACCCAAGACTGTGGAGGGAAGATCTCTGTAATCTTATTCTTGAGTTGGTTGACATATTCCAAAGCCCTCCATGGGGCATTCTCTACCTCTGATGGATTAAGATGTACTGATGGCAGTGGTGTCTATTTGACTGGCCACAACTCTTATTATCTGCAGCAGATCCCTCCACGTGGGGTTGTAGCTGACCGTGATGTTGTACAGCTCATTCATAAACCCATGTGAATTGCTCCGTGGCTTAGGGATTGATGAGAGAAATCCCTTCATTTCTCCAGGTGTCCATGGTAATGCAGGGTAATGTGCCTGTCTGCCTGACCATTTGTGCTTGGGATTAATTGTTCTCCGACTGGGTAAGCTGAGGCTTGAGGTGATAAAAGTTCCTCAGCCATTTTGCCTACTTCCTCATAGTTTATTTTGCGAGTGATTACGAATTCTCCATCCACTCCACAAAATATTTTTCCTCCCCTCCCGACTTATAGATCTTGCTTCGAGGTGGGAGTAGGTACAAATGATGAGGCAGTTGCTCTAACTTGGGGTTCGACATATAGGGGAGGATATAGAGGGGGTGGAGGATTCAATCTTCCAGTGGGGTATGTCATGGTTGGGTCAACAGGAGTTTTTGGTTTGGCCCCTAGGTCTAGCAGGGTCCCTGTATTGTCCACGGCATGCTCCACTAGAGAGATTTCAAGCTGCTCTATCTGTTCTGCCTCTTCCCTATCTGACTCAGACTGACTCTCCTCCCTCAGCTGGTCTGTTCTCACTGTTCCTGTCTTAGTCTCTAAGTCCTTTGCTTGAGGTGATGCAGTGTTACCCTTGCAAAGATCATTTCTCATAGCCCGGCTATGATGGAGGGGACTCTTTATCTCTCGATTCTTATCAGTACTGTGGCTGTGAGGGAAATTCCCACACTACAAATCCCTACTTTTGAGATCTCTAACCTTTCCAACAGAGCCAAATGGTAAACAACAGGGAGACTATCCCAAAAAGTACCTGGCCTCTTATATCATCACGGTCAAATTTCGCTAGGGGGCTGGACTCAACAGTCTGCTTATTCATAAGGGACAAGTCTGCTACAGATCTGGGACATGCCCTTTAGCATGGGAGAGTACAGGCTCAAACCAGCATGACCAGGGCCGTTTAGAGACAAAGCCGAGAGGTGATCAAAGATCAGGGGTTCACTCTCATTCTCTGGGAATTGCCAGGTACCCAATAGCTGCAGTGGACTGAAACCAAATTTAACCGACGATGGGAGTACACAAAGCCTTTGCACTTATGGACCAACACACACTTAGTAAGAAACTCTGCATCAACCCACACTTAACCTTCTATGATTTTTGTCCCTTTGCTATGCAGACTATAGTTAGTGATAATTTACTTGAGAAATAGAAAACATTTGTGTCTGTGGATGATAGGGTCCTCTTATTTAGCACATCACTGCCCTCACTGGCTTTCTCTGTAGAGGTGCGTTTTGAGGCAGTACAATCAGTACAGACCTCTTGCATACTGATACGGTGGGTTTTATGCACCAGTATACTCACTTACTCACACATTCATAATAAAAAGATGTCAAAACATTCAACTGTTGTTTCATGTTCTTGGGAGGTTTGTACTTACAACAGAGGACAGAGGGTTTAGGAATCAGAGGAAGGGGGAGCAATTGAGATACAAAGGTTCTCACCTATTGGTCTCCTGTCCTCGGCTTCCAGGTCTGGTTCTGTCCACTGATCTCTTTAAACCTCCCAGATTTCAGCACCAAATTGTTGAACAACGTGAAACAACTAGTCCAAATCAAAGAAATTGTTATTGAAGAATTAAGCAGGATTACAACAAAGTGACAGAAAAGTATGCACTTTCAAAGTAATTCAGCTGGCACGCGCCACGATCAGATAAAACAGTGTCTCTATACTTTTTGTAAATGCCCCAGTGATGTGGTTTGACCAATCCAGAGCCTCTGCACGTTCATCAACTCTGAGTTTCCTTATTTCATCTTCACAGTGCTTGGGTGGCTGATGTAGCATTTAAGGGTAAATTTGTGCACGCAAGCAAAAAATGTCTTTGTTTGATATGGTTTTTAAGCATTAAATTTATATTAAGCATAGGGCAAGATATAGACAATTAATGTTTTTTCTAACACTTGTTTTTTGCATAGGCAAATAGGCATGGCTGGGCATCTTTTCTTTTCTTGTCCTGCAAATTTTGCAATTTTTTGCTTTGAAGATTGACATTTCTTTAAGTAAAATGGCAAGGAAAATCTTTTCAAGTAGATGTTAAGATATGTAATTATTATTGACTTGGAAAATGCCTTTTAACTTGTAATTATAAACAATTTGACCTATGTATAAAAAGAAAATATTCCGTCAATTTTGTTAGGGGTAGATGCTGAAAAAGCCTTTGACCGGGTCAGTTGGCCGTTTATGTATGAGGTTTTAAAAAAGCTAGAAGTAGATGACATTTTTTTATGTTGGACTAAAGTAATTTATAATTTACCAACGACTGGAGTCAGAGTTAATGGAATCATTTTGGATCAGTTTTGTCAGGCCCAACGGGACAAGGCAAGGGTGCCCACTGTCCCCATTGCTATTTATTCTACCTTAGAACCATTTTTTAATGCATTAAAGATGAATAATAAGATACAGGGTATCGGGTTCCAAAAGGAACAGTTGAAATTAGAAGCATATGGTGAAGATAACATGTTGACCATTACGAAACCCCTACAATCATTCCATTTTACATTTAGAGAATTGAAAACATATAGTTATCTTTCAAATTTCAAAGTAAATACCTCTAAGTGTGAAGTATGAATATGAGTTTTGAAAAGAAAAAGGGAATATTGAAAAAAACACCAACTTAAAGAGGTACATCAAACACTCAAATATCTAAGAGTTATGATACTCACCAGTGTTAAAGATCTCTTTGTTTTTAATTACATTCCATTGCTTAAAAGAATTAACCTAAATATAAGAAATTGGTTGTTTCCACATATATCTTGGATGGGGAGAATGTCAGTGATATTAATGAATATCCTCCGAGTGTACTTTTTCTGTTCCAAGCAATTCCAATTCTAATACCAAAGTGTCAGGATCCTGTTCTGACAAGCAATAATTTTGTTCTGTTATCCTGTTACTTTAAAAAAAAAAAAACAAGTTTCTACATTGATTTTGTTTTATCACTAGTGGTCTCCGTTGCCTCTAGTTTGACCATTCTCCTGATCATTCTCACCTGTCTGGACTAATTGGGTTCCTATAAAATGTAACATCCAACTTACCACTTTGCCTTGACATTGAAGTTGATGATTGTCTCAAAGACTTCATATCCTGGCTCATGAGTTAACCTGTGGACTTTCCTAGTTGGCTTCATAACCTGCTCCAAACTTACCTGTAGAACTCTTCATTCCTGCCTTATCTACAAACCTGCAGCATACCAACCTGAACACCCTATATTCCACTTGCTTAAATCAATACTGGACTTTAATTTACTTTGTGGCTATCTATATCACTCCTACATCGGATTTACTAATATTCCAAACTATATTTGCATCTATCAAAAATGACCAGCTACTACAATATAACCTCTTATCCAAAGAGACTACACAACTACAACCCTATTTAAGTATTCATTAAATTTCTGTCTAGTTCTGTATAGTTATTTCTTTATATCCTGTTCTTGGGCATATTGCCTAAATCCTGTTTCCTATAATCCCTCTATATTGTACCTATAATCTCTCTTATAGGTTGATCTTCAATTATCCTTCCTATAACTTCTTTATAGGTTTTCCTTATTTCCACCTTGGGCTTGTTGTCTAAATCATTTATTTCATAGGCTACTTAATTACCTGTAATTTAAGACATTCTATTCTGTTCACTATCTTTCATTCCTATAACTACAATTATAGGATATCCTGTTCTTACTAGAATGTCTAAGATAGCAAATAAAGACCCTGCAATTAACCCCAGTTTCAGTCTCATCCCTGACCTGCACAAGATCATGACACAAAGTCATTCTTCGGTGGAATCAAGCAGTTGATTATCAGATATATCTGGGGAAAGAAATCCCCTTGCCTTGCTTATTATTGCATAGCGAGACCTAAGAGTAGCAGAGGACTGGAAGTCCCAAATATATACTAATACTATCAAGCATCTCACTTAACTTCTATATTAGATTTGTCCCAATTGAAGGAGAAAAGTTGGATCACTATAGAGCAAGAGTTTTTTAATATCCCAATTAATATTGACGCTTGGCTTGAAATACTTTGTTCTTTTCCAAGGTAGGGAAAATTTGTAAATACCCAAGTCTCCTGTTTCAGATGAATGATTTCTGGTGATGATGAAAAGTATGGCAAATTGAGCAAAATTATAAATACAACCTAGGGTACATTACTATCCATGGATAGTTTTTTTCAGCAAGGTGGCAGGACACCCTTTACTTACTTACAACTGAAGTATTTCTACCAGTTGCTTATGGCAAAACACGATATCCCGCAAAATCTAACTAGTTTTGAGTCATTACGCAAGCAGAATGAATGTATATCACATTCATTATCTAAATTATATAAATTACTCGGGGAACAGTTTTCATACTTTATAAGGCTTTGGGAGAGAGATCTTGGGATTACTTTATCACATCTAGATTGAAGTAGATGTTTTAAGTTGAATAAAAACTGCTCTATAGCATGTAAATATCAATAGCTTGGATACAAAATGATCTCTAGATGGTATAGAACTCCGGCTTATTTGCATAGATATTTTCCAGTAATTTCAAAAAAATGCTGACGGTACTTAAATTCAGTAGGACACCTACTACATATATGGTGGCTATGCCTGAAAATTCAATCTTTTTGGAAAAAGGTGGAAAATATAACACAGATGGGAGTGGATCCCCTGTTTCAATTAACTCCAGTTGGTCTTGTTATGGCATATAAATAAAGAAGTCCATGGTACTAGGATATCTTTAGGAATTTCATTATTAAATGCAGCATAAGAACTTATTCCACTGTATTGGAAACAGTCAAACACCCCCACAGTTAAGGAATGGTACGGTAAAATTAATAGTATCAAAACAATAGAATATTTAATTACTAGGGGGACAACAAGGGAAGAAGAACATAGGAAGGGATGGGAACCTTGGGAAAAGTTTTATAATAGTCCCTATAATATGAATGATATTGATACTGTAATTTTGCCTCAGGGGGACATCTTGTGAAGTTCTGTGTCTATGATAATAGGATGTAGAAAGGGTCTGATTTGCTGGGGAGAGGGAGAGAGAATTTGTTCTTCCTTTTTTTTTTGTGTGTGTGTGTGTATTGTAGGTGGGGGTTTTCCACTTTTCTCTCCTTGCCAACCTCCCTAATTTTTCAGGGAGGTGTTGGCAGTGAGAAGAAATGGCAAAGATTAGGTAACCAGAGGAGAAAAATAAAAGGCTGTAGGTGGGCATTGCCCTCTTTGCCAGCTCCCCTTATTTCTTAGGAAAAGAGCTGCTGGTGGATAGAAATGGTGACGATTAGGTAATCAGGGTAAGGAATGAAAAATAAAGAGCTTTTGGCTTAGATGAAATTAACCATATAGCAGATACTTAAGATGTTTCTTTTTTCATTTCAAAGTATTCATTATCGAATGAACATGTGTTTTGCTTTGTTCTCTTTTTATATTTGCTTTGTTGTTTAAAATGTATGGAGGCCCATTGTCAATTCTCAAAAAAAAAAAAAAATGGTGCTGATGGTGGATTAGGGAGCAGGACCCCTTCCTCTACCTTCCCTCAGTTTTGCTTGGGAGTAATACCTGGTATTGATGGTGATGGGTTTCTTTTTCTTTTTACAGGAAGATAGGTATACAAATTA